AAAGAAATTATCTGGACAACTAAAAATATATATAGAGAGAAAAAATTAGCCGGGCATGGTGGCACATGCCTGTAGTCCCAGCTACTCGGGAGGCTGAGGTAGAGGACTGCTTGAGCCCAGGAGTTTGAGGTTGCTGTGAGCTAGGCTGACGCCACAGCACTCTAGCCTGGGCAACAAAGGAGACTCTGTCTCAAAAAAAAAAAAAAAAAAGCAAAGGACATTCAGAATCATCGATCCTGTATTATGTTTTTAAGATGACATTTCTTCGAAGAAGCAAATCCATAATAAATGCTTTTTAAATGCTATGAAAAACATAGATAAGAACCATTAAGAGAGTAAATCTGTAAAAAAGACAATTTGTTGAAAGATAAAATAGTTTGCACAAAGCGAAATTAGTATTCAGTGTGTGTTATTAAAAGCAGTACTTTATTAAATAAATATGTTCTTTTTAAAAGCAACCATGCTGTTTTAATTTTATTGATATTTTAACATAAATTTGTGTGCGCATATTATGCTCAAAGCATCGTGCTACTGTCTGAGAAGGGATACATAGATAAATAAGACCCCAACATTAAAGCCCATCACACCTGTAGTCCCAGCTACTCAAGAGGCTGGGGCAGGAGGATCACTTGAGCCCAGGAGTTCAAGTCCAGCCTGGGCAACACAGAGTCTCTGTCTCTTAAAAAAGCAAACAACAGAAAACTCTTATAGGCAAAGGTTTGAGATATTTAAACAATGAACAATAAAAAGCATAGGTGTCATTAAAGATGAACAGATACAGTTTTATGGGAGGTCAGAGGAAAGAGTCCCATACTTATGGCTGAGGAATTTGACAGGTTTATTGGAGCAGGCGGTTTTTATGCCAGGCCTGAAAGGAGGATCTAGACAAGCAGAAATAAAATCAGGAAGTGATTTCAGAGAGGAAGAGAGAGAGAGTAGTTTGAGGAAGGAAAACCTCAATGGGTGGCCCATAGTATCCAGGAAGATCACAAGTGGACCAATACTTTATAGGTTGGCCTTGGAAGCTGGACAAAAATGATTAGTGGTATTTGGTAGGTGACAAGAGACTAACAAGATCTGTCAG